CAGACTTGAAGAACTTCCACATGGCATTGGGGAAATGGCCATGATGTAGACCCACTCAGTACGGAGTTGCCACAAAACTTGGATTTGCAAAAGAAACCAAAAAACACGTAACACCCCCACAGTATCTGCAAAGTGCAATACAACAAAGGACAGTAAAGTAAAAAGTCTTTCAAGGTTTCTTAGTCATCTAGGGCTTCTGTTGCAGAAATACAACCAATGGATAAGCAGAAATTTGTTCTCTTACCGTTTGGGAGGGTAGAAGTCCAAGTTCAGGGTATCAGCTCTAGGGGAAAGCCCACTTGCTCTCTTGTCCTTCGTGGAGGAAGGTCTATTTCATTCAGTATTTTAGTTCAGACGTTCCTGGGAGACCGCCCTGTGTCTGGGTGTCCAGATCATTGAGCATCTTCCTTCGTGCAGGGTTCTGGTCCAAACAGAGGAGAGAGATTCCTGGAGATTATTTCCTGGTGGTACTGAGGTCTCCTCTCAGCTGGCTTTCCTTCCCTATATGTCTCATCCACTCATTGTCATTGCGTCTGAACTGCGTCAGAGCAGATCCTCCGGAGGGTCTTCAGAGGCTGTAATTCACCAGGAGGTGTCCCATCTTCCTCTGAAGGAGTGCTGGTGCATCTGCCAGGGACCTTTCGGAGAGTCACAAAGTAGGTTCTGACTCAACAGCAAGGGGATTTTCTTTGTTTTTATTCCTAGAAAACAACAAAGTGGATGACCACCTGTTCTTGAAAGCAGTAGAGGTGAAAATCAATCTTCAAGGCCCTGCAAAGATTGTTATGTTGTTAGGGTGCCGTCAAGTCAAGTATGACTCCTAGTGACCCTGTAAACAACAGACCTGAACCCTGTCCTGTCCTGTGCCATCCTCGTCAACTCTCACACACTTAAACCCATCGCTACAGTCACTGTGTTAAGCCATCTCATTGAAGGCCTGCCTTTCTTTTCTCCTCCACCTTTCCAAGCATGATTTATTTCGTTTTCCTGGAAACAGCCTCTCCTAGCAATGTGCCCAAAATGTGTGAGAAGTTTCACCATCCTTTCCTCCCAGGAGCACTCTGGATGTGCTATTCCTAAGACATCTGTTTATTCTTTCGACAGTCCATGGGATATTCACTGCTCTTTGTCAGCACCAGAACTCAAAGGCATCAACAGGTGTATCAGAGTCTCCAGTCTGACATCGTTGCTCTTTAGTACTCTGGAGAGGTCTCTGACCGCAGATTTTTCCAATGCAATTCATCTTCATTTCCTGACTGCTGGTGATAATAGTGTTGAGTATAGAACTAAGCAAGCTATAATTATTATCTCTTCTTATCTGTCATAACGCTGCCATTTGGCCCCATGGGGAGAATCTTTGTCTTCTTAATGTTGAGCTTCAATCCATAGTGAAGACTGTAGTCCTTGGCCCTCTGCAGCAAACGCTTCAGGTTCTCCTCAGTTGCAACAAGCAGGGTTGTGTCATCTGCATAGTGCATTTTCTTGATGAGTCTTCTGCCAGTCCTGATGCCACATTCCTCCTCAGGAAGCCCAACCTCCCAAATGAGCTGTTTTGCATGTAAATTGATATGGAGATAGGATGCATCCCTGATGCGCACCTTTCCTGATCCTCAACCATGTAGTGTTTCCCTGCTCTGTTCTGAGGACTGCTTCCTGGTCCAAGTACAAGTTTCGCGTGAGCACAGTTAAGTGTTCTGTGATTCCCATCCTTCTCAAGGTGAGCCGTGATTTCTTGTGATTCACACTCAATTGCCTTTGCATGGTCAGTGAAATAGACGTTCCTCTGGTACTCTCTGCTTTTGGCTGAGATCCATCTAATGTTGGCTATAAATTAGATTATTATTGTTTTGTACTCTTGAGTCGAGACCGACCCATAGCTGACCCTCCAGTGGGTTTTCAGAGGCAGTTAAGTATACACGATATTACCCATTCTGTAGAGCAGCTGGTGGATTCAAACTGCATGCCTTCGAGATTGTAGCACAGCTTCTTACCACTAGGCCACCAGACTAGAATGTTGTTGATTGCCTTCGTGTTGAGCATGACTCATAGTGACCCTATATGAACAAAAAAGGTCAGACTAGAATAGTAAACGTTAAACACCAGGAAAAAGACAAAGGATTTTGTCCTACCATAGAAAATCAAATGCATTTAAACAATAGTAAACATTGAGGTACATATATCTTGCCATTGACCTTGCAAACAGGAAAAAATTCTTTGTTATGAAAACTATCAAGTCATCCCTCCGTTACTCTTTGACCTAAGATTTTAGAGGACTCACTTTCTACCCATTACTTTTTTCCTTATTTTTAATGTTTGGTTGGTTGGTTTTGTTTTGTTGTGAACCATCAAATATGACTGGCACAGGAGGAGATTGCCTCTCTTTCTCCAGTGGAATATCTGGTGGATTCAAACCTTGTGCCTTTGGGATTGCAGTGCCGCTTCCTGCCACTAGACCACCAGAGCTCCCCTCTACCCCTTCCTTTCCATCACCCTTCTGCGCATTTTGTTGTGCGAGCTTGGGTGAACAAAGCCCTCGGTCACATTTACTGTTAGCTTCAGCACAGATGTGTGGAATATTTCCCATCCAGGTGAAGTGAGAGCATGGGTCTCAACTGTGGAGCCCATGAGAGGTTCACCTTTGATGCACGGGCTCCTGTTCATTCCTTACCTACTGCTAAAGGAGTTCTGGTGGCTTAGTGGTAAGGAATTGCACCACAGACCCAAAGGCATGCAATTCAAATCCACTCGCTGCTCCACGGGAGAAAGGTGGGTGGAACTTCCTGTCATTTACTTCCTCTGCACACCGTCTCAGGGTCAGCTAAAAGCCGGTTCTGACTCAACAGCACATAACAACAGCTACTAAAAAGTCTGCAAAGACTTCACGCCATTCTGTAGTTTTTCTCCAAATGCTTGAATTTCTGCAATCACAGTGATTTTTATCCCTGTCTCATACAATTGCTCCCAAGGTTAAGTAAGTTAGTAGGTTTACACGCGTTCAGAATATATTAGCCACTTAACACATAGATGATGAGTGTAAGTGAAATTCCGATTTCAGTTGTTGGTTTTCCTTTTAGATATACGTGAATATAGAAGGAACAGGGTGAGCCTAAAGGTCGCCATCAGCGTCTTGGTACCTTAAAGACTTTGGGTTAAATCTGGCTTTTTCTTTTCTATTTTACAGGGTCCTGGAAAGTTACATATAAATGGAATTTTAGAAAACAGTCTCTTTGCAATGCTCATCTGAAACTGTGATTGTTTTTCTGTTTTCTCAGGGAGGAAAAGAGGTAGACCTCGGAATCCTTTGACTCAAGGACACAGAGGCCCGGGGAAAAGTGGCCGGTCAAGAGGTGAGCACCAATTCAGTGGCTGCCTGCGGTTTCCGCTGGGTTTTAATAACAAACCCTTTTCTTTACTTGCTTTATGAGCTGTAATAGAAATTATATGTAGAGAGCTGAGAAGTGTATCACATTTAGTTGATCTCCACAATGTGTCAGGAAGAGAGTGACAGATATCATGGTGATAGGTCCGCAACCAGATCCTGGCGCCAGGGGCCACAGCAGGGCTGTCTACACTCGGCTCATCACTTAAGAGGAAGCAGAATAGTCCATCTCTGAGTAAAAGAGTGACCCACAGTTGTTGACCTGGGCCTCCGCTTGCTGCACAGAGATCCCCAGGGTTCACACTCATAGTGGCCCAGAGTAACAGATTTTGTGTTCTAGACCTTCCTCTGGCTGCACAGGCTTGGACCTGTCGCGAGACGTCTCTTGTGTCTGTTTTCTCGTCTTTAAGCCGGAGCGTGATGCATACCACTGCTGTTATAAAATAGAACTGACATAGGGAGTTGTGGGAGAATAGGAAAAGAGTGGCTAGATAATGAACACGGCTTTGGAACAGATGAGGAGAAGAACTGTCTGAAAGGAAAGTCTGATTAGGTATTTATTATACATATGACAGCAGTGTGGAACTAGAGGTGCATTGCGAAGAGGACTCGGGAAGAGGGAGGAAGGAAAATACGCAACAATAAATGAATGAAACCCGCACCGTTCTGTAAACTTTTGTTAAAATCACATTTTTTTTAAAAAAAAAAAACAGTTTTAAAAAAGGTGAGTAAAACTAAGTTGCTTCTCTGCTTTGCCTGATTCTAATATTTTGTCTATGTCAAAACCAGCCTCAGGGCCATGGTCATGATGAGAAGCCCTTCCTGCCTCCACAGCTTTGATTGAAAGGACAGGGCAACTACCCATCCACCTGGAATGAGACCTTTTATCCTCACGTCTATAAAATCAGGTCCCAAGTGCCACCTGCCTGTGCCATTTGATGATCATTCTGGAGTTCCCTAAGTTCTTTTCTCAGCCATAGACAAAGTGAAGGTAAAGGCAAAATACAGTGGAATGAAGAATAAATCTGATACTAGATACCATTTCCATTAAGCTGCCTGATAGGGACTTTGGTGCTCAAATGGGGAGATAAAATAGTCTTTGTTGGTATAGTAGGTGAAGTGCTAAGCTTTTAATTTCATGGTCATCAGTTCAGGTTCACTAATGGCTCCATGGGAGAATAAAGAGACAGCTTGCTCCCGTTAAGATAGTCTCAGATCTCTCACTGAGGCCCACCATAAGTTAGAATCAACTCAACCACAAGTGGCTATTTAAAAAAAACGAACCTGGCTAGAAAGCTCCCTTCTGAACAAGGACAGCCGTCGTGTTTCATTGTAGCAATCAGTGAAGCCTCAGAGATTGCAGGATAAGACCATTCTACTAAAGTCTGATTTTTCTGTGTAAGTATCCCGCTTTGTGTAAGGTTTGAGAGATTGAATTGTGGTATCTAGACACCTCCTACTTAGCATATGTTTTCAAGGTTTTTTTACTCAAGAAAGATTTTGCAACTCTAGAGATTTGTTGTAAGACTCTTTGTGTCTTCATAGGAATGACCTCGGTGGGAGAAGAGGGAGGTATATATAATTGTAAAATGCAACCAGACAAAGAAATCTTCTTTTCCAGATCTAAGAAAGCATGTAGCAGAAGCTGTGGATTTTTCTTCCTCTGTACTGCCTGTGACTTGTGGTGAGGTGAAGGGGACTTTATACAAGGAGAAATTTGAACAAGGTGGGTTTCGTGGTCTTGTAGTTCCGACTTTGGTCTGAAGGAATCACAGGAGTAAAGGAGTGATCCGTGTGAAATTCAGTGTTAAAGGAACTGGGATCCAACTCTGGTTTCAGAAAAGGAGGAGGTGTATCATCTCTAAGGTGGTATTTTCACTTTAAAAAAAATGACTTGGAAAAAAGCCCCGTAGTTGTTAGGTTCTCACTGCCACGCGCACGTGCCGTGAGGGTGTACCTACCGTTTTACTCTCTCCAGTGGAGGAGGATTCCAGTGCCCACACATCGGATTTTATTCTTTCTGAAACAAGTCCATTCACACATGATATCCATACCCTACAACTCGCCAATTGAAAGTGTACAGTTCACTTTACACTTCATTTACTCACGAAGTTGAACCATCATCACAAGCTTCTTTCCAAACATTTGTTGTATCTCCCAAATGAAAGCCCCTGTGCTTTAGCGATCGGTCCCCGTTCCCACCCCACCTCACTGACAGCATGAAGTGACAATTTCCCTACTTCCAGCTCTGCAGCGTTCCTCTTCTGGGTATAACTGGAATCAGTATGTGGCCTTTTGTGACATGGCTTCTTCCACTTGTCATGTATTTTCAGAGTTCATTCATGGTGTAGCATGAATGAGTATTTCATTCCCTTCCCTTACCAAATAATAGAATATTTCATGTTTTGTGAAATGTCCCATTTGTTTATCCTTCCTCAGCCGGGGGACATTTTGATTTACACTTTTCGGTAATAGGACTATTTCTGTGTTAAATATGCAGGTTTTTAGAGAATATTTGTTTTCCATTCTCTTGGGTGCATATTTAGGAGTGGAAATGCTAGATCACATGGGAGCGCTCTCTTTCTTTTTTTTTATTTAGTTTGTTTATTTTTCATTTCAATGAACATCTACAGAGATTTTGGAATTCCATTCATTCATTGTTGCACCCTTCTCCCCCGCCCACCCCACCTCCCTCTGTTTGATTTTTTTGAGGACCTGCCAAACTGTTCTCCACAGTAGCCATTCCACCTTGCATTTCCTGAGGCAGTGAGCGAGGGTTCACATTTCTCCACTTCCTCTCCAACACTGTCTTTGTGATTATGACCATCATTGGATACAGAGTGGTATCACATTGTGGTTTTCATTTGCGTTATCCTACTAATTCATGAGCTTCTGACACTTCTCTTTCAGTGTACTATTCTGACTGATTCTTTTATGATTTTCAGAAACATTTGGCTTGCAGGTGATATTGTTCAATAATTTCTACTCTGTGTTGAAGTACCTTTCTTGGGAATAGAAACAGACATGGATATTTTTCAATCATTGGCCAAGTAGCTGTCCTCCAAATTTCCTGGCATAGACTAGTGCGCACATTCAGGATCAAAAAACAACATCATGTTGTTGTTGTTAAGTGCCATCAAGTCATAGCAACCCTGTGAATGAAAGACCTGAACACTGGTATAACTTTCATCATTTCTCCCAAGTTTGTTGAGTTTCCGGAGGCAAGCTATTTCAGAAGTGGGTGCCGCTCCTGCTTCCAAGCTTATTTTAATCGGGGAGCTCCACCAAACGCTGTCCACCATGGGTGACCATTATTGCATTTGACACATCAGTGTCACAGTATGACACTGATGATGAACATCTTGATGGAGAAAATACAGAAATTATCGACAATTTCATCTTACTTGAATCCACAATCAACCTTTCTTGGTACCAGCGATCAGGAGATCAGAAGACATATTGCATTGGGCAAGTTTACAGTCAGATCCCTCTCTAAATTGCTAAGGAGCAGTTTGAAGACTGAGGTGTACCTGATTTGAACCATAGTCTTTTTCATTCGCTTGTTCTGCATCTGAGAGCTGGACAAAGACAAAGGGTGACAGAAGAATTGAAGCCTCTGAGTCGTAGTATTGGAGAAGAACACGGAACACCTCATGGACGGCCAGGCAGCTGTGTCTTGGGACTCATGGAGCCAGGGTGTTCCTGGGACGCAGGGGTAGTGCGGTTTCATCTAACATATTTGGGGCATTTTGCCAGGAGAGGCTGTTCGTTGGAAAGAGACATCGTGTTTGGAAAGGTGGAGGGTCAGCAGAAGAGGTTGACAGTGATGGCAGCAGCGGGTACAAGTGTGTGGCCCAGAGCAGGACCGTGTTCAGGTCTGTTCATAGGAGCTCTGTGCATCGTACTTCACTTGACAGCACCTAACAACAACAACAACGATAACTAATGATGTTGAACGTAACTTTCATACGTTAACTTTTCCACTGGATAATATTTCAAAATTATTAAATATCAGACCCAAACCCAAACCCACTGTGGCCAGGTCCAGTGCAGCGTGACTGTCTTGCGCTTCCGAGGCTGCACGTATTGATGGGGAAAGACTGTCTCTCTTTATTCTGCAGAGCAGGTGGCGGGTCCCCATCACTGACCTCTGGTTAGCAACACAACCCTTCATGCAGCACTGGTTCCTGATTTACTATCAGCTGCCGGTGAAATTATCAATGGGAAAGTCTCTGCTTAAAAATGGCATTAAACTGGATGAAAAGGAATGTAGTAGAGGATGCAGTGTTTCTCTGGTGACACTCTGAGCTTCAGGACATCTGTGGACTATCGCGGGCAAAAGCCAGAAAGCCAATTCTGGATTCTGTTTCCATACTGGCCCCTAGGGATAGCTGGAGACTCACCTGCTTCCTGTCCTGAGATTCAGTAGCAGATGGGAGTCCTTTCAGACTGGAATCACCTGCTCCTCTCAGAAACAATTCGGAAATACTTTTAAATGGCTGGTTTACGTCGTGATTTCTATGCTTTTCAAATGTGAAAATCAAGGAAATGTGCTGACACTGCAGGAATGTGCTCTGCAGGGAACTTGAGGACGAGTTCTGGTCATTTGAAATCCTGAAGGGGAGGGTAGACCTTCTTACTATTGATCGTAAGCGCAGATGGGCTGGCTTCACATCCATTGTGGTGGGACGGACACACACACACACACACACACACACACCACGCCCCACCCCCGTCTAAACTCTGGGGACAGAGACCTCAGGATCTGCTTACCCTGGTCTTACAGGAGTCTCAGAGAAATCCATTCAGCATGAAGATGGAAACTGGTTCACCCCCATCGAATTTGAAATCAGAGGAGGCTACGCGAGATCAAAGAACTGGAAGCTGAGCGTGCGCTGTGGTGGACGGCCTCTGCTGTGGCTGATGAAGGTATTCTAGTGCCCTGCGTGGTGCGTCTCGATAGTAAGGTGTCTGTGCATTCACCACACAGGTGTGGAGTTTCTCCTCACACTTGGGGTAGAGCGGCCCCACATGCATCGTCCTAGTACAGTGCAGGGCATTGGTGTTAGAAGACTGGCCCGTCAGGAGAGGAGCAGGCGCTCCCCAGAGACAGAGGTGGTTCTGACTCGGGTGCGTGTAGGTAACTTCACGCACTGACCAAAAGAAGAGTTGATGACGTGAAACCCAGAGCCAAGATTGGGCTGGCCCTGTTGCTTTGCGAGGTAGATCATATATTGTAAGGTGTGAGCTGTCAGTGTTGTTTAAATCATAGTCTAGTCTGTGCAGACACATGAGGTCTTCTCAGGACGGACGTGACTTATTTAAACCATCAGATAGGCGAGTGGCCCTGAAATGACTCCATGTCTTTTCACAGCCAACAACTCCCCTACGCAGCCTGTACACTTTCCTCCAGTGTCACCCTCTGAATTGTCCCTCCTTGAACTGGCCCTCGGTCACCCCTACTGGAGGTGCCTGCGGTTTGGTGCTCTTCTTACACTGTTTTATTGCTATCCTTCTGTACATCCATCTAGACTAGATTTTGTCCATCTTTGTGTTTTCTGTCTTCGCATTTCCAAACTTTCCGTTTAGCATAGTGTCCAGCATCCAGTAATAATCAACAAGTGTGTGTTGATTGAATCGCCCCAGGGTAAGGGAGCTGTGGTGTGTATTCAGGAGGAGTTGCATTGTGAGCCCAAAGGTGGAACCTCTGAAAGTTCAAATCCACCATCGGCTGTGGGAGAGGAAGATGGGGAACCTCTGTGATTTACAGCCTCTCGAAGCCTGCTGCAGGGTCAGCTCTGAGGCGATTCCGACTTGGCAGCACTGATGTCTTTTTAGTTGAAGGACTCAAGCTAGGATCTCATTCGTGGCAGTGGAAAAGAAATGATCGGTGTAAGAGAAATTGTGAAGGAAAGCCTCTTAGAAATCGGGAATGAAACAAAAGGAAAAGAAAAAAATGCTATTGAGGACTTTTTAAGCTACTATTGATTTAAGTCGCATAGAAGTCAAGTAGGGAGAGGGAGATGGTTTCTCATGTAGACATCTCAGGAGTCAGCTGCCAGTGGGACATCCAGGTACATACATTCAGGGTGAGACTGTAGATGCGAGGAGCACAGGCTAATCACATCCTGGAATTTCTTTTCTCAGGAAGGATTCCTCCCTCATCCACCAAGAGGCCCTCACTGGAGAAAAATGGTGATTATTGCATAACTTTCTACAGGTTCATCATATAACTGACTTGGCAAAGTTTATCTAGGTTTTCTGCGGTCAGTAGTTTTTAAGTTTCCCCCTCTCTATTGTTTTTTTGGGTGGTTTTTTGTTTTGGGGTGTTTTTTTTAATGTGCTTTCAGAGTTGCTTCTTTGAACTAAGTTATCAATAAAGCAAGGTCTTCTATTAAATTCTTTGAGATGGTGGTAATGATTGGAATAAACATCACAGCCTTGCTTTAGCAATAGAGGCAGGTGTCATGGCATGTTTGAGTTGAAAACACAAGCGTGGTTATGACAGTAAGGTGATGGGATCATCTTGAGCTCAGACTTTTTTTATTCGTGTTGCCATTTTCTTATGTTGGCGATGATGTTGCAAAAGTTTCCTCTGAGTCATTTAAATTCTCCCCGTCCAGTAGACCTTTCACCTTGGGACACAGGAAACAATGCATAGCAACCATTGTGGTGCTTCAGGGAGCTCTGGTGGTACTCCTCCCCAGAGGTGGCTTTCTGGGCGGTGTGCACCCCCTGGCCACTCTGCCGGAGAAAGGTAGAGAATCTCCAGTGCAGCTCACAGCCGGGGAAACCCACTGAGGGTTAGCTAGGAGTTGGTTCTAACTCCTGGCCGTGAGTGTTGAGTTGTGGGACTTTGTACTCTCTGTTCTCTGGTAGACAACAATCATATTGGATATTTTTACTGTTTTTCTACAGAGAAAATTGGAGTATCATGACAAGGACTTAGTTGAGTCTTGTGTAAGTACTACTTCTCTAACCAACAGGAGAGTGCACGACGTTGTCACAGAGTGAGTTTGGGGCTGGGACTGTGCGTCGGGTGTCCAGGAGGAGAGAGCGTTCAGCGCATGTGGGGATGTGCATGGGTGCAGAAGGGTGGAGCTCCTGGGAGCTTTAGACTGAAAGAGATAAAGAAGCTGTGAGATGCACTTAGATCATCTGCTGGAGACAAGATCTGTGTCATCTCTTGATGTTTGAATGGAGGAAGAAGAGGACCTAGAAATAAAACAGATACAGCAGCAGAGTTGGTACAGAGACCTCAGGAAGCAAGGGCGGAGCACTAGATGCATTTGGAGCAGAATGGTCCGTGCTGGGCACTGCCGTCGCTGTCCGTGCTGGGCACTGCCATCCCTGCCTCCGCCTGCTTCTCCACTGCACACTTCATTTCCACACACTGCTTATTCATCAAGGCCTGGCTCGGTCTCCATGGCTGCTTTAGCGTGAGCTCCTGAGATAGTCACAGGAGGGTAGGAACTGTCCCACCAACCCAGGCCGCTTGTTACTATCTGGGTTTAAAGCCACCTACCAGTTGTTCTTAAGATGTTTCTACTCGTTCACAGAAGGGGAGCCAGGGAAGCAGTACCTGTGCATGTGTCACATCTCCGGGTTCACACGTTAATACCCGCTATCGTGAGTTTAACCACTAGAACCTGCTTTGTACCCAAAGACGAGAGCAGTGACTAGCTCTTTGACGGGAGTGTAGAGCATGTGCATGCCAGTCTCTAGAGTTGGTCTCTAAACTCAGATACTTTAACCGGCTTTCTTGACAGTTTGAGTTCTCATATTATAGCCTCAGTAAATCTCCCTTCCATGAATCGTTTAATGACTGTGCTATGCTGTTGTACGTTACCACCAAGTCAGAACCAACTCCTAGCTGATTCTCTAGCAGGTTTCCAGAGGCTGTAAACTGCATGAGAGGAGGTTGCTCGTCTTTCTCCAGAGGAGCAACTAACTGCTGAATTTGAACCACTTACCTTCAGGTTGTCAGTCTCACTCCTTACCCTCTAGGCCACAAGCACTCCCTTGATTGTGCTATAGACAAATGAATTTAACAGCTGCTTGCAAGACCCTGTTATTAGCAGGATAATGTTGTTAGTCAGGGTCCTAGGTAACTAGAACTTTGTGGTGGTGTTCCTCTTTCTGCGTTAGGAACGTTTTATAAGGATCCCTTTTCTGGTATGACACACAGACCCCTCCTGCTAAGCGCCAAAGCAAGCCTAGATGTCTTCTCTGGAATCTCCTTCTGGTGGCCTTGGTAACGCAGGGAGAAGCACGCATGCCTCTGTGCTGTGTCCCAGACTCCCGTTGTTCCCTGCAGAGCTCTCCCTAATCCCGTGAGGTGGGCGTTCTCTCTCTTCCAGCTGGGGAACTCTGATGACTGTGAGGTGTGCCGCGATGGAGGGGACCTGTTCTGCTGTGACACTTGCTCAAGGTCCTTCCATGAGCGCTGTCACATTGCACCTGTGGAGAAGGAGAGGTTAGTGGCATGCCGTCCAGCTCCTCTCTTCTGGCGAGGAACCCCTCTTCCTGCTGGAAACAGTGACCCTGCAGGGTTCCTGCATGTGTGTAGATGGGGAAGGAGCAGGGTTCCCAAGGGACTGACATCAGGAGCCAGCTCCACAGAAGCTTGCTGCCCTCTGAGGATCAGACACCTCCTCTGACTGTCAGGACGGTGGCCAGGCCTTCATGCCTTCATCCTGGTGCTGTTCTTCCTTCCATGTTTTCCAGAACCGACCTCTGTCTAAAGAGTTTTGAGACAGAAAATGCCAGTTATTTGTATTCTGTGCTTATTCAAAAAAGGCAGGAAGCGTCACTTTGCTCTTGTATTTCACTTGGTCCCATTAGGATGATGCAGATCTGAGTCCTCCAGGGGCTGAGGTCAGGCTTGTGGTCACCAGACCCAGCAGGCAGGGATCCTGGTGCTCCCAGAAGCCCAGGCAGGGAGAGAAGAGCCCACCTCATTGTGACACCACCTCCTGTGGGCTGACGGCCCTGGGACTGCCGTTGATGGAGGAGACCATTGGCCCGAGGCCTCAGGTTGGGGAGTTGAGGACACTGTGAAGTGTCTGCCACAGCTGAGCCCACTGGCCTGTAGCACCCACGGAAATGACGGCTCCGGCCCTGCGCTCTGCTCACTTCTGTCCCACCTCTCAGGACCCCGTGGAGCTGCATCTTCTGCAGGGTGAAGGCTTCTTCAGGAGGCCAGCAGTGTCAACAGGAATCTGAGATCCTGGAGAGGCAGATGTTGCCCGAGGAACAGTTGGTGAGTGACCTGCAAGCCTCCTCTCCCTTCTTGTATGAGAAGCAGAATCACCCAGGGTCCCACGGTGAGGATGCTTTTTCACACCGCACCCGAATCACTTCATATCAACATCAAGATTTGTTTTCAAGCCCTTGCATGTCTATTTTGAGTCACACATGGTCGGAGAACCTCCTGGTTGACTGGCTTGACTCCTAGTCCTGACTTCTGTCTGCACAGGGATGGGGGTCATTCCTTCACGCTGCTTTTTATTTACAACCCACTTCTTTTACAGAAATGTGAGTTCATCCTCTTGAAGGTCTATTGCTGTTCAGAGAGCTCCTTTTTTGCCAACATTCCATATTATTACTATGTAAGTAACATCAAACCATGGACACAGCTGTCATGATGTTTGTGTCCTGGAAACTGGTGATGTGGGATTTGCGACCTGAATCCCCGGGAGTGAAAGCACTAGTTGTTTTCTTTCACTTGCTGTGTTTCAACTGGGCTTAATGGGAATTCATGGAAGGTAGATGTTGAGCTATGCTAATAGCAGTTCTTTTTGATATTGTGTCCTCAGAATAAAGAGGTTTCTGGGGACCTGAAGGAACCCATGTGGCTAAATAAAATCAAGAAGAAACTTGATAAGAAGAGTTACCACCAGGTGCAGGGATTCGTGCAGGACATGCGCCTCATCTTCCACAACCACAGAGCATCCTACAAGGTGGGTTCTCTCCTCTGCCTCCTGCTCTTCCTCCTGGGGAGCCTTTTTCTGCTCCTCTCAGCATCCCTCATGCTGGAGCAAGCCTACCTGAACAAGGATTCCAGAAGTCAGTGACCTTGTCACCTCAGGACCAGAGCCGACTGTGACAAAGTGACGTTGAGACGATGGGTTTCATCCTTGTCAGGACCCTGGGCTTCCCGGAGTCCCTCTGCTCGGCAGGTCAGACGGAGCCCAAGGAGGACAGTAGTGGACCTCCTGCGCCTGAGCATCGGAGAGTCATATTTTCAAGTCACAGTGAACTGCTTCTCCTTTTCCTCCATATCCGCTAAACTTCTTAGGACTCCCTGCACCCAGATTGTTTATAGAAGAATTTCCCCTTGATGGATCTGAGTCAACAGGGCTCACCTGCGGAATGGACGTGAGTGGTGCAGAGAGAAGATTTGACTAGAACTTCTGTACTGTTGAATTGTGACCAACACCACCAGTGACTTTAAGAATTCTCTTACCTGTTTTAAGACAGTAGGCCTCAACTCATTCACAAGAATTGCTCATGGTCCCAGGACAAAAGTTACTTTCAGTTTCTTGAGGATTTTAGTTTAACTTGACTAATGTAACTTTTCAGTCCTCACCGCAGGCCCAGTAATCATTATGATAGATGGAGAAAGAAATGACACTGTCAGTGATTTAATATTGCTTGGATCAGTGATCAGTACTCTTCTTGGTACCAGCAGTCAGGAAATCAGGAGATGTATTGTACTGGGTAAGTGTGCTGTCGGAAACCTCTCCAGAATACCAAAGAGCACTGGTGTCAGTTTGAAGACTAAAATGTACCTGATTCAGGCCATGGTCTTCTCTATCACTTGCTACCCGTTAGAGAGCTAGACAGTGAATAAAGAGGTCAGAAGAATTGATGCCTATGGATTGTGCTGGAGAAGAGCACTGACTATCTGATGGACTTCTGAAAGTACAGATGTGTCCTGGAAAGGGTGTGGTCAGTGCTTCTTGGAGGCAGTGTTGATGAAGCTCTGTCTTTCATACTTTGGGCATGTAGCTAGGCGAGACTGTTCCTTGGAAAGGGACATCATCCTTCAAAAGATGGAGGGTCAGCAAAGAAGAGAAAGACCTACAACAAGATGGACTGACATGTGACGTCAGCAGTGGGCTCTGGGTCTCAGAGATGATGATGATGGCACAGGACAGGGCAGGCTTCAGAGTGGCTCTTCATAGGGTGGCCCTGAGTCTTTCTCCACTTGATGGCACCTAACAGCAACAGCAGGGTAACCATTAAGGAGGGCTAGTGGGCCAGTCATAGGAAGTTGAGCTGCCAGCCTAGAGGCACGCGGTTTGAACCCAGCGGCTGCTCTGAGGAGGAAAATGAACAGTTCACAGCCTCTGAAAACCTGCTGGGGGGGCTGGGGGTGGATTCCACCTCAGCGGCAGTGAGTGGGTGTGAGTGGATGTAGCTGTTTTTAACACTCGGGGGCTTGCTTGTTGAATCACTTGTTTTGTTTTTATCGCCCTTCCCTTCGCCCATCTTAACATCTGCTCTGTCTTCACCAAGCAGTATCCCTGCTCCCTCTCGTCCCTGTTAACCATTCTAGGATGTATCTACCTGGGGTCTTTCTGTGTAATCTTTAATGGACATTGACTGTCTTATGACTCGTTCCCCTAACTCGACATTGTGTCCTCTAGACTCATCGTGTTATATGTGTTTTCAGAATGCGCCTTGTATTCCACCGTGTGTATGCACCACGGTTCACACTTTGATGTTTGCCTAGAGTGTCCTCATCATTCTGAACTGTCAGATGCCCTCAAGCCCTCAGTGTACCATTATTTTTGTCTTCGTCATTTTTTTTCTTTCAGTACAAGGACTTTGGTCAAATGGGACTGAGGCTGGAGGCTGAATTTGAGAAGAATTTCAAGGAAGTGTTTGCTATTCAAGACATAAACGAGAACGAGAAGAGCCCACTGGTACATGAATGATGGGACGCCCTGGCCACTTGGCCTTTCTGGGCAGGGCCTCTCTCTCAGCACTGTTGCTGACCGCTGACACTACCCGCCCGCCCGATCCCCGCCCCACCCTGCGGTGAACGAACCGCTTCCCCTGGAGGTTTTACCCCATTTCACGGTGGAACCAGTACTGTGACTGCTGCTCCTGTGCCCCCCGCGGTCCTGGTGCTATCTGCAGATTTTGTGTCTTTCCTGCAGAATCCCGTTATGTTTCTCACACTATGCTTCTCAGAGAAGTCACTTAATAAATCACTTTCTTTAAAAAGTTGATTACTACCTGAGGCCATTATTGTAAAAATAAAGGATAACTAGTAAGACATAGCTGAAAGTCTAAAATGGGAAGGGAGAGGTGTGGGGTGGGGCAGATGGTGTGGAGAAGAGGGAGTGACTAGACTAACAAGAGTTTGGGGAACAGGGGTGGTGAAGGAGTTAGGAAGGACACAGGGGAAGCCGAAAAAATGGGATAAAACTAGCCAGAGGTCTATGGCAATGAATTTTGTAAAACACAATGTGCATGAGAGATCCTTTGAAACAATGTGAACGTAGGAATGTGAAGCACAGGGTATGAATTTTGTGTGCAAATCAGTATAAAAGACAAATAAGTGGAGGGAGGAAAGATCATCACATGCTCTGCTATTATGGGACCTAACCCAAGAGAGACGTTTCCCAACGTCCTAGATGCACGCTTCTCCACTGAGGGGCAAAGGAGGTGGTAGTGGGGAGTGGTGATAGTCCCTGGAGCGCTGTCACAGCGTAAATGTCACAGTGTGAACTGATGGGCTGGACTAGCTGGTGCGAAAGCCGAGATTTTAGAACTAAGAGGAAGACTAACTGTGGCATAGGCTTCAGGGTGTTGCTGACGCCAAAGCCTTGCCTCTCTGACAGTTCAAATCCACGAGTGGCTCCGAGGGAGAATGGTAAGCAATCTCTGGTGCTGTTTGCAGCCTCGGAAACTCACTGGACGGTCAGCCATGAGCCAGGTCCAACTCAGGCAAAGTGAGTGGGTGAATAGCCAGCCATAGGAACTGCGGATTTGTGTTCCAGTGGTGAGGAACTCTGATGTTAGAAAGTGTGGATGACACGTTTAGCTTGATTAAAAGCAGCTCCCAGAGGCTTCCAGGTTGTACTTTTAAAAACACTCCTATCATCACAGCTAGAAGGCCGGGGTCCTAATTTTTAAAATGACAGACCTTCAGAGAAGACTAATTCTAAGGTTAGGGTCATCTCTTATGCCAGAATTAGACCCAGATGTTGAGAGAACAGGACCCCGTAACTCAGACCTCCAGATTTCCAAAATTTACAGAAGCATCACCTTCGACCTTGCCATATGCTCCCCTGGCCATTTTGCTTGACTGAGGGGGACCCGGACCTCAAACGAACGGGAAGTACATTGTGCCAGGGAAGTGGGGACTAATGCTGGGCTGAACTCCCCAGGAGAGCAGTGTGCAGCCTGTACCTGTAAAGATTACAGCCTAGAAAACCCCTTGGGATCATTTTACTCGGCCCCATGGCGTTGGGCACCATGGACTCGAGGGCACCTACATATATGTTCATCTACAATACACGTTCATCATCCCAGTGTTAAGAAATGTCCTGATTTCTGAACGCATTGGTAAGTTACATACACTGCAGACAGGGAGATGAATCTGCAATTGCATTAAATCTCGCCATCCGGGTCAAGCTTTAATATGATAATGCACTGGTCTGAGGCAGGTCAGCATTGTTGCTTCCCAGATGAGTACCTCCTTGTACCTCCGATCACCGGGAAGAAGTACGGGGTGACTCACCATGGTTGACAGGTAAAGAAGTTCTAGGTTTTTAGGGGGTGTGTGTGTATACGATTTTGATTAACAAAATACCCTGTAAGTTTCCAATTAATACATTTGGGGCATTGTTAAATATCTACAAGTATTGAGCTCCGTCATTCCTGTGATTTCCCATGGAGCCTCACTGCAGTTTGCGTTCCTGTTGTTTTTGGTGTCCAGTGATACTGACTTGAACTGGGCAGCAGCACCAGCATGCATTGAAGAGCATGTGACATTCACCCTTGTAAGTGGGCCCCCATGCCCTCACTCCCTGGGTGTGTGTCCCTGTGCAAGCGACTGGCCCGCTGTCTTACTGGGAGGGTGGAGATACTAGGAGTGTACAGCTCACTCTGCCACCTTGGCTTGAAAGGAGAGCATCTGACCTTGTGCATTAATCAAGCAGGTTGAAGAGTTGACATGTCCCCCTAGACAGGGCTTGGCCCTGCGAGCAGTGAATGCATGAAGTTTCTCAAATCAGCACACAGTCAGATCTCTGTCCAGCAAGAGGGACCAGATCTATTAGGTTCAGACAACAGAATGCACTGATGAGAGAAGTACACAGACGGCACAACAGGCCTGGACTCAGCCCACGGATTGAGCTTGGGGAGCAACTCGGCCAAGTGGTTAGGGAGGAGCCACGGGATAGTTGCTATCCACCTGTGTCCACACCCCAGGTACCACACTCAGGATCAACCTCCCATATATCTGGCTTGGTTTGCAAAAGTGGCATTTTATCAACCGACACTGCTCGTGCAGTACAAGGAGGAGGAAGTTCACCTGGGAAGTGTGCTGTCAGGAGACGGGCGGAGGAGCCTGGACAGCGAGGCCAGCTCGCCCAGGGCCCTGTAACTGAAGGAGGCACAGTTTCACGCCTTCAGGAGGGTGCAGAACCTGGAGATAAAGACTGAGTTGGTCATCAGAAAGGAAAGGGGCCACCTCCGCCACTAGACAGCCAAGGGCAAGGGAGTAAGACCTGTTAGTTTGACTAGGCCCTTTAGGAGGTGTTTCCTGGGACACTGGGCCCCTGGCTTTGAAGGAGGTACAGGTGTAAGGCCGTGTCCTGGAGCTGCCAGAGGACCTGGGCCTCTAGCCACCCTCAACTGCTGCTTCTCAAGATACCTCTCAGTCTGAGGCTCCCTTGCCGCCTCTGGTCATCGACAGCAGGGAGGCTGGGGAAGGGGCAGCCCTCCTGCTCCTGAGTGTAGACAGGAGGGGACTCCTCAGGCCACCTCGCATGGCTTCAGCATCTGTGTCCTCGCGTCCAGATGTGTCTGCTGTGTTTACAACGGGTTAAACTCTGGCTTGCACCCAGCCGGGTTCTGTTTCCGCCCTAGCTCCATCCCCAGGGAAGTGGGAGCAGGGTGGAGACAGGAAAGCTGGAGGCATGGATTCCTGGTGAAGGTGGCTGCATAAGCTCTTGAACTTGGAGACTTTGTTTGCAAGTCTGTGGTGTCAGAGAACCCCAGTGGTAAAGAAGGTGATGACCAAGCCCAGGACATTGCGGAGTGGGGACTTCCTGAAGTCTGGGCAGTCCCCACTGCCCCCACTTTGCAGCTTGTTAATGCTTTGTGATGGAGCGAATCCCCCCACCCCGTGTCTGCCTGACTTATCTACTGCTTCGGTAGCCTTGGGCCCAAGACAGGTCAGCTTAGGGCTTCTTCCTGTGTGGGGACAGAAAGCAGATGACCCCTGGGGCCTGAAAAAGCAGGCTAGCAGGCTGGCTCTCAGGTGCTTGGGAAACAGGGGGGCTCTGAGAAGGATGAAAGAGGCCACGCCAGAGTAAGAATGGCCATGTGCTCAGGAACAGCTGAGTATCAGTTATCTCAGGACCCAGTCCTCCGGTCGGGTCACTTCCGTCTAGAAAGGAGCCAGGGTACTTCCCCACTAGTTCTGAGCTTGAGAGGAAAGGAAAGGCTTTAGGTTTCGGTTTCCCTGAAAACAGAGTCCAGGTCTTTGGGGACTGTAGTTGCAGCCCTAACCACTAGAGGGGGTGTGGCCCTTGCAGCAGCCAACAAGTGTGGGTTTAGTCTCTGCAGGCAAGGTGACCCCAAGCCCACCACCTGGCCATCTTGTCTCCTGCTCACCAAGCCTCCCAGAGTAGTCTTTCCCAGAAACAGAAGGACCAGTCTGTCGCAGGAGTTGATGTCTCCAGGAGGAAACATGGGACCACCGAGTCCTGGCACGTCCTCTTCTCTGTCCCCTTCCAGGAACATACCACCTGGCTCTTGAGTTCCCAGGACAATTGACTGCTACTCCCTGTGCCTCCTGCTCTGAATTCTCAGGTCGCAGACACCCACTCCATTCCAGTGACCCTCTTCTCTCCCCACGGGTGCCCCAGGCTGGGCACTCAGCAGTGTAGTCTGTGAGGGGTCACTGGGATGGGTCCCTTTCCAGCCCCGAGCCCTCTCTCCATCAGCTATAGCATCTTCTGCTCTGGGTTTCCCAGGCCCCCACCAGCCGAAGCTGCCTCAGTGGCCATAGGCAAGTTCCCTGGTGCTGCTGTCCTCAGCCTGCCCTGGGTGTCCCCTGATTCCCAGTGAGCCCAGCAAAGTTTTCAGGTGTTCACTGTTTCAGGAGCCTCTGCCTTTCCCAGCCTGAGCCACTTAGGTGTCTTTGCTGTGGCTTCCTCCACAGACATCTAAGAATTCTGCAAAACATTGATCCTCTTGCAGACTGATCGTAAATCTCTGCCTGATCCCATCGTGAATGTCTCCTTCCCTTCTGAGTAAGGGAACCAGGTGTCCACTCCCCTGAATGCTGGCCCTGTGGACAGCGCCCTTAGCCCTGCTGAGAGCTGATCTCTGTGCCAGGGGCTGATCTTAGCAGACCCTTAGCCGACCAGGAGGAGAAGCAGACACATTGACACAGCGCCTGGCTCTGTGTGGCCTGGCTCAACTGGCTATGTCAGGACACAGGTATGAACAGGTAAGAGTGGGTACGCTCTGTGGTGGACTTCCTGTGGGGGCCATGATGTCCCATGGAAACTGGGGCAGAGGAGAGCTGTGCTCAAAAGGGTGAGCTTAGTGTCTTGTCAGCCCTGCAACTGACAAGTCAGGGCCAGAGGCCGAAACAATTGGGGAGGGAGGGAGGGAGGGTGTGTGTGTGTGTGTGTGTGTGTGTGTGTGTGTGTGTGTGCACGCGCCCTGCCCTTATTTGAGTTCTGAAATC